GAGTAATTAGTTAGAGTAAGATCAACAACCATAAATGCCAAGTGTTTATAAACCTCATCCACAAAGTTTTCAACTATATAATCGGTTCACTCTAACCAAAAAATAATTGCGATACAACTGAATAGACTAAGTATTAGCTGTGTAGGTAACAGCAAAGACTGAGACTCAGGAAGGAATGTTTATTATTGACATCTTGTACAGTAGTCATCAAACATTGTACACTTTCCACTAAGACAGTCATTTGTACAATGTGCTTCACATTTCCTCTTCTGCTTCTATCTCGATTCGCTCTTAACACGTCCACATTGTCTTTTGCGTTTCTGTGGGCAGGATTTCTACCCATTGCTGGTAATTCCCTATGATTTCTGACGCCCTCTCAACATATACTACTTATGTCCATTCTGATCAGTAGCGCTCAATACAGCTGCATCATCTCACTAGGTGGAGTTGTGGCTCATTGCCTCTACTGAACTAACATGTCAAAGATTGCTAAGGGAATTTTGATTCGAGTTCAGATCAGAAAGTTTGAATTACCTCCAATGACATAACATTTTAAAAACGACGGTGTAAGTAACATAAATCTTTCAAGAACAGGGGACTATAATCTTACCCTCCCTCCCTTTCTTTTGTCGATGCTAAAGGGTAGGCTAAGGAAATTTTGTTGAGCATCAAAACTTGAATGTAATTAGTCGTTTAATGTTGAATTAGTGATTAAATTGTATAATCCCATTTAATAAACAGATAAAAATAATGCATGCAGTCAAAGTTTACCCCTATTCGTCTCCAACCTATCCAACTGATAGAAGCAATAACTTATTATTTTATTTATAATATTATTGACAACACTTCAATCTAAGAAGAACCCATAAATACAAAATGGAACTCTCTTAACAATAATGATAGTACATGAAGTTTAAAAACCGGGTAAAATGAGCAGTCTCTATTTCCCATGGACTTATCTTCAATACTAACCAAGTCAAAAGCATTGGCGACAGATGTAAAACTAAAGAAACGATAGTTCACTTATTTACCAAGGCTATAAACATGGAATAATAACTATCTGTCGATCACTGTGTTACTCTGCACATACGACGTGACAGATCAGACAATTTTTAATTAATTAACTAACTAATTTTCATGAAGAGATAACCAAAAATGAGTTGATAAGTAATAACTTGTCAGAAGGGAAAAAGAAGGAAACTGACAATAAAAATGGTGGGAAATTTTTGTACACATTTTTAGTTACCCATTTTCCAGCCTAGAACTTTGCGCATATTTTCCAGTTAGGTGAAGTCTAGTCTTTCCTGCCAAGATAACAAGGGGCCAGCATTATTTAAAGTGAAATTAGGACCTTGATAGCAGAGCTGGGTCTCCCGACTCTCTCGAAAGACTGCTGAGTCAGTAACGCAGGCTCACCTTTCACCCTTAACCGATAACCTAGAAGATCATGAATACTAGTCTGTCCGCTATCTCAAATAATGTTGTTGAAGTGGCTATCATGACTCGGTGGTCTAGTGGATAACGCTCTGGAGCTTAAAGCAATCTATCTCTAGTTCCAGTCCCAGTTGGAGGTTTATCCAGCTGATGAGTCCCAAATAGGACAAAATACGTGTCTTGGATTCCGATGCTAACCACTATTCCTTATTAATATATAGCTATCTCAAACAGTCTCACAAATAAATATTTGAACAGATATATTAATTTCTATGCGATTGCAAACACTTGCAGATTCGCATTTCATGAGTTCAATACCAATATGATTAAAGAATATCCTTCCTTGGTACATTTTATTAAGATTTTACATTTAAAAAGCCATATTAGATGCCATAATAATGGCGAAGTTTTGCGGAAAACATATTTTTCAAACGGAATACGTTATTGTAAGTATATTAAAGTTTGGAAACCTCACACATCTATATCAAATATATGTAACAGTATTATGTCATAGATACAATATTCAAGTTATGACGGGAAAAATACTAAATCTATGGGAATCATCTTTCCTATCCTCCAACTAACCAACAATCAATAACATAAAGCTTTAAGTCTAAAAGAAGTTCCCTCTGGAATGTTCTGTGGTTGGTAACATTCTAAGGGTGGAAACATCAACGATGAAACCCTAACAGTTTTCAATTACCTTATAGATAAAGCTGACTGTGGGGAAAATGCTATCAGTTCAATGGTCACTTGAAATAATTTGATTACTGATTTGATGCAGACAGCTGGTATTCCGCATACAGTTTTAAGATCAAACGAATCATAGGACAGTAGCCATCTATACTGACCAAGAATATTGCCAGCAGTATCCATTCATGCCATGCTGGAGATCTAAAGTGGTTATGAATAACTTATCTTCTGGATTTCTTGCAGCTAGTTAAAGAATAGTTCATCTTCAAATAGCAAGTGTGAATCGTAGACCTCAGTTGTATGAATATGTAAAGCTAATTATTGTGTTGTCAATTTGCAGCTAAATCTTTCTACTACATGTACACATATTGGGTAATACGGTCAATGATACAAGAAAAAAATGTGAATTTTTCAACCCTCATATAATTTAGAAACGATCTTCATTTCTGAGTTCTTTTAGAAGACAAGGGGAAATCATTCACAATCATAGTCATCCTAAGGTATTTACGGTTCATCTTTGATGCATCTGGCCGATACCCCGACCCTGAAAACATTCGTGCCATGCAGCAGATGCCATTCCAACAGATGTCACACACTCCAATCATTTCTTGGTCTCATCAATTTATATTCAGTGTTTCTGACTTCTCTACATGATGTGGCAACTGTTGAATCGTCTTCTGTGCAAGGATGTTGCATGGTCCTGGTCAACAGGATGTGAAACTTCCATAGAACGACTCAAGTCCACTTTTAGATCTGACCTCCTGTTAAATTATTATATGACCCTTATCTACCAGTCATCGTTGCTGCAGATGCTTCCTCCACCACTGGTGTTGGGGCTGTCCTACTGTACGAACATCTGAATGTTTCACAGAAAGCTCCTACGTATGCATTTCGACCTCTCACGTCAGTGGAAGAACGCTACTCACAGATAGAGAAGGAAGCGTTTGCCTTAGATTTGCTACCAGACACTTTTACAAGATGCTGTATGGACGAAAATTTGTCTTGTTCGCCAGTGACTAATTATTGCGCACATTTAAATGTTAGATCCTGATAATCATATTCCATAAGACAGGTTCCCCAGCCCAACAAAAGCAATTTAATGGGAATAGCGCCAGTATCATAAAGTCCTATTACAAGATCCTTTTGGACCAGACCAAGACGTTGCACCAGTCTATGAAGTCTGACTAGTGGTCTGAGACGTGAGGAAATGTAGACTGCTTCACTGGGGTCCCCGACACGAAAGGAATCAGTGGTGTTAAGGTCTTTTGGTGATATGGCTGAAAATCGACCACAATGGTGCAGATGTATTCACTCCTTGATATCTTCTCTAAAGCTTGAATATTCGCACTAACCTTTACCTTTAGATTGTTTATTCTCTCACACTACTTTGTCTACTGTGATACTAGGCTTTTTCTATCCACTTATTCTTTGTATTCTACTGTGAAGTGTGGGGAGTTCAATCGATGCAGTTGTGTGCTAGGTTCTACGTTGATTTTGTCAGTCAGTCACATCTGCCTTACAACCACTTATTACTAACATATTCAACGGGGAAAAAGTCACACTGTAATTATCGATATTAAGAGTACGGACCTCATCTTATACAAGAGGTGACCTACGCATAACCATAAGGTTCATAAATCTAGGAGCTCAAGGCATTCGAGGTGACTCGAAAGCATTAGGTTAATCACCACAACTTATTAAAATCATGTATTAGGTGAAGCTTGACAACATGTTTATAGTCCACCTTAAGTCACACACAAGGAAATGTAAAGTATAAGACATTGAACGGTTTATCGGTCACAATTGTCTTATTGATGGATTCACGATTGACTGCCACTGCTTTCAAAACTAACTAGTAGTTAGTTCATATTAAAAGTACCACATCATCAGGTAAAACGCTGAGATGGCAGTACCCTACAATGTAAATAAATCCTCGGAAATCGATTATCTCAGTCTGGTCGTTCTAATTAAAATTGAGTACGAATGGAAGATATATGATGAATAAACCTGGTCTATAAGGGGAAGTGAAATTATCTGGTCAGCAACATGGTCCCCATATCTGAGACAGTTGTGAGGTGGTCGATAACCAAGTTGCTAGTGGTTTTAAACCTGCCATAATTCGTACTTCCCCTTTAATTTCAATAGCTCTTCTCATATATGCAAACAACAGTCAGTGTCTGTGCAGGCGACATGTAACCACAACATTCAAACACATGCAAACTACTTTACAATCCAAACAAATTCTAATTTAATTGAGTAGCCTAGTAACATGCTATTTATTCGTGTTTTCTAATAAAGAATATATGAGCCGATTTATTTATTAACGCCTAAACTAATCACTAATGTATTTAAGAGATGATGAGTTTGATAAAAAAACTCATTTACAGACCCAGGGATTATATATGATATCAAGTAGATTACCTGTGACTTATAAAATTTTTAACCAGTTACATTTCTCCACAAATTTCCTTTTGGAAAACAGATACAGAAGATTATTTCTCACTGAACTTCTTACACGTCCCTCACAACTTGACTTATTCAATAAAATAAGAAATCCACTAAGAATACTGCAAAAATGTCTCTTCAATCAAGTTCTATACGCTTTCGTAGCAATATTCTTCAAGTTAGCGCTCTATAACAAACTCTTAGAACTCTTTTACTGAATTGACACCTAACAAAAATGTTTTTAGTGTGTAGTATACCAACAGAAAATAAGAACCTGAATGAAGTATACACACAAATCTACAAAATGTTCATTTAGTATGACTTGTATCAGACTATACCTAGAGAGCTGGTTTAATTTCATTGCAATAACTTATCAATCCGTTAATCCATTAGTGTCATATATTACACAAAATTACGCACAAACTCACCTTTTAGTGTTTTGACAGCAATTTCTTTACAGCTTCGAGTATCACTTTTACTCTCATTATCTGAAATGCATAATCTCCCTTTATATACTACTCCAAAGGTGCCTTCACCAATAACATTTTCAAGAATAAACGATGATCTTGATGTACATGATTTAGGATTACAATGTAAGTAGTTACGTAACCAATCCAACAGTAAAATATTAGACTGGAGGATAATGTTTTGTTCATGTGATGAATATTTCTTTCGTTGATATAATAATTTCTGTGAGAATAATTCAATCGACTCTGTGATCCATTTGCATGCAGTTTTAGAAGCATTACTCGTACTTGTGCTGACGGCGGTAGTGGAAGAGAATGGAGATGAGGGGGATAATGAAGAGGGGGAGGGGGAGGAGGAAGAAGAAGAGGATGGTGGTGAGGATAATGGCAATGACGATGGAGAAAGCAACGGCGATTGGTGCTGTGATGGTTCAGTATAAAGTAAGTTAATCCTTTGCATAAAATCAGCACGTTTTGGCTTCGCATCCTTACTCTTGTAATCGATTGGCAAGGACATTATTGTCCGCATTGACTTACGCTTAGCACGTAGACAAAATAATAATGACAAGGGAATAGTTGCAAGTGTAATAAATAGAATCATCCAAATTATTATAGGCGGTAGAAATCTGTAGAGAAAACCTACAACAGAAAAGAAGATACCAATGAATGATTATTGGTGAACTGAGTAATTTCAAAACGGTTCGCGAAGCGAACTGCCGGGTGAAAAATGAGGACAATTGTTTTCTAATGAAGTAAAATAGCAACCAATTCACACAACAATTGCGGAGCTGTTTTTCAGTGGCTTATTCACGGATTCGAACCCTACTCCATCTACCGAGGTTTGGGCAGCCACATATTAGCACTAGTCCTCACACGATAGGTGTGGCTCATTGCCTACTGCACATATGTACACAAGGTGGCTGAGTACATACACAATAGTTGTCTCAAGTTAGGAAATGCCAACTTCTCAACTACAACGAATCGGCTTAGTAGTGGACCCTGACGGCCCTCTATTTTACTTAGATAACCCTAGTAATGATGTCATCGCTAAAGTAACAACGGTACAACATAGCTAAGTATGATACTTGTGTTGTAAAATACATTCCTCTTTATACTTGATAGGTACATCGACATTCTGCGTCTTTATCGCACGTCGGTTTTGGTCTCTCCCAGTTTTCTCTTTTATATTTTTTACCCATCCTGTTAGTTCCATGTTAGTTCGAAGCAAGCTTATTTGAATCAAGCAATCTACTGGTTGAAGTCACTCACTTCAACTATTAATTTGTATTTTATTACAAAGTTGACTTTTACAAATGTCGTTGCAACAGTTCCTTTGCAGCTTTATGACCTTCCAATGGTTATAAGTGATTTTTGCAAAGTAAAACCGCTCGTACGCACGGAACTAATACTTTAATGTTATCTAATTCTCATTTACAAAGAACAATAGTAGAGTAGATTTCCTAGATTTATTCATAATATAGCTAAACCAGAAGAACGATAAACGATACCAGGCAACAAGACCAACCAGTCGATATAGTCTGGATCCAGATGGGTTTCTACATTTATAATACTTTAACTACTCACAAGTAGTCAGTAGGACCTGGGTTCAATATTTGGCCTTAGTATTTACCGGTGAAGTATGATAAGACGGTTCCATGACTACCTTATTATAGTTGTACTATGTTGAGTAGATATGTGTAAGCAAGCAAAAGTCTGCGAGCAATCTTGTCAGGATTACTTTGGATCTCTTTGCTAAAACGTAGTATGGTTCAACTAATGGAGTTTAACTGTCTTCTTTGGTAGCACTCTCAAGAACTGGAAGTGATCATGCAATCTAGATCATTTGTTATTGGAGTACTGGAACAAGATGCAAGTGTATTACTTGGAAATTACGATCTAATGGTTCAGTGACTACGATAAAAATACCATGATTGCCACCATATTTTATTCAATGAACTCGTTTAATTCATGTTGTTCTTTTTTCCCTCAAGTTGGTATCCATCGTAGACTGACATCAGTTGGAGAAACATTAGAAACCTGTGAACACTGAACGGCTGTTTCGCCCTAGTATGAGACTCCTCAGCAATGCACACCCACGGCACCACCCGTGGCCAGCACGGTAACCATGAGCCACCGGGACGGAATCCAATGGTCCACATTTCCTACTTGTCAGTTCACGATATAGAGCAACCTACATCCAATGTCTTTGCTGAATAATTGTCCTCATGTTCAACTTGGTTGACTCCACTGGTCACTTGAACTGACAGAAGTAGGAAATGTGGGCCATTGGGTTCCCCACCCGGTGGCTCAGTGGTAACATGCTGGCCACGGAACTTGAAGTCCCTGGGTTCGTTCCCTGGCAGGGCGGGGTCATGAGTGCGCACTGGTGAGAAGTCCTATACTAGGACGAGACGGCCGTTCAGTCCTCCCAGGTTTCCAATGTTCCTCCAACTGATATCAGTCCGTGATGAATACCAACTTGAAATACAAAACCCCAAATCCCCCTAACCCAACTTTTCTTTTTGTATTTACCTAAGATGAGCCTGGAAATCCCAACGAAGTATATATAATTGTATAACAGGTAAATGTTGGATAGATGATTCGGCTCTAAAAGTTGTTAGGACTAAAAGATTGCTGATACGAAAACTATTACATGGAATTTTTGGAGGAATAAACAGTAGGATAAGAAGTAATCAATTCACATATCTTAAGCAGCAATGAGTTCGATATCTTTAGTTTAATACAGAAGAATACGATAAACCGTGGAGTTGTAGAGCTGTAGCTGAGTGAATTGAGCACTCAAGTAGAGAGTTACGTGATCACAGCTCGTCCCACTCTCACTGAGGTATCAGACAGTCTCAGTCTCACTTATGAACTACTCTATAGCTACGGCCTACAGACCAGAACATGAGTCGATGTGGCACTATCAGCTTTCGCGTCCGTCGCCAATAAGAATTATCGACCGCTTGACCAAAATAAAGGATAGGCGTAATAACTATCTGAGAAGCTAAACTGCAACTTGTAAGTAGAGAACGAGTTATTATGAATTAGTTACATCTTTTCTCATGAGTGACAGTGTGAGCATACTCAATTGACCGAACAATGTCACACTACAAAGCATGTTTCCATTTTTTGGTTTAATATTTAGAAGTACGTAGGCTATACAGCACGTCCCAGCATGATCTAGTGCACTTTTATTGACATGCTCTTACTCATACAGCATAGAAAGGGAAAAAAACATAGGCATGTGATTCTCGTCCAAGAGTGGTAACATAATGAATTGGTTGTAAGTCCATTACCTGGTGTGAGGTGGACACTAACACTCATGTGACATTAGGAACTGTACATAACCTGTTTGAACAGACAATCCCGATTCTTATTTGTGTGAAAACATAAAGAATGCTAAGCAAGATACGCCCCCGCAGCCAGACAAACAGATCCCAAAATTGGTTGGGTGAGATCAACAGCAAGGTAAATAAGAATTACAAAAATATGCACTAAAACGAGCGTTAGACTAACACCCATATGTTAGTACCAATACCTTTTGAGTTTTCGCGTTTAGCCTAATCGGTCTAAAGTTTGATTCAGTAAGATTATCTATACTTCAAAAGCCTGAATTTACGGGCATAAAATACATGTCTGGTCTTGTTTGTGACCTGTATTCTCAACCCAACAATGCCAAAAATTTATACGATCATGAATAAACCCAACACAGATTTTCTGCTTCAAACGCATTAGAGGTTGTGGTCGCATCTTGACAAACGTTGACGCATGTGATATGCTTATTGCAGTGATCAAAATAGTGGCTATTAGAAACATTCAACTTTCCATTTTACCTTGAGACCCCTCTATCTATCAAGGATTTTGAAGCTGAAGCAGTGTACTGAGACCTAAGAAAAAAAGGCTATTGATAGCGATGATAAAAGTTGAAGTGAACACCGAAACAAACATGAAGTAGATGAGCAAGGTTGAGCGAAAGTGATGAGGTACAACTTCTCTGAGGGATACAGCCTGAGATAAAGCAGAAAATTTGAAGGGCTTATGTGACTTTAGCACTTGGGTGCTACCCAAAAGTCATTGGTACTTATTAGTACATGGAATCAGTGACGAGTAACCCAAGCTTTTAAGAAAGAGGGTAGCATACGATCGCGCTAGTTACAGATCACGACGAAAGCCCATGAATATACCTTAGTGATATCTGTATTCGGGTACAGTTGCACTTGAAAGGACTACTTGGCTTCACATTATTCGGCACGGATACAGGAGTTCCTCTCATAATATTCCTCTTTTTTAGGAAATACGTACTGCTAAAAGTGCAATGAGAGATAATGATAGACAAAACCAACCAAAATGATCTTTTAACTACAAATCATCCTACCATGTCTGTGTCAGTCAGTCAGTGTATGTAATAAATGATAGCAGTAGTGTTCATCCATAGTTGAAGGTTGTTCTTTAAACTTACATTACACCATTCAAATAAGCGTTTAAAGTACATTTATGTTCTGTTTAACAAATTAAAATGCTTGTTTCAAAAATTCGTGATCTGTTCGTTTTCCATTTAGACGGTATTGATGCTTCCAACTTCGATTTTGAGTACATTCTTGTTATAACTTGGCTGCTCCCCAAAACTATGCTCAAACAAGACTGTTAGGGGATAGAAAAAAGGTTGTTGGATAAAAACCAAGCACTAGCCTTCCTTAGGGTAGTTTTGTTATAAAATCATCCTCATTTTCGCTAATGTTCAAGTTGTACAAATCCAACCCATCCAGTATACACCTAAGCAAAAGTATAAGTTTTACGTATGGAATAACAGAGTTAAGTCATTTACACAAATTATTTGCATAAATATCCATTAGTGCATACCATGAACAAATCATAACACATTATGGATTGTTTTGTCAAGCTTCTATGTAGACTTCTAGTCACACTATAAATTATACTTCCATTTTAGTCTGTTTATTGGAAATGTCACACAGTGAAGGAACAGTATCATTTACTGGATAACGTTTCAAACACAATTTATTGTTCATATGCATATCAGATAACTCCATAACTTCACGACAGAGTTTTTTATAGTCCCAGTCTTCTCTCTGCCTAGCACATAGGCAGTCATTATGCAAATGGGTCAGTAAGTATTTCATAGTGCTGTTTAGTGGGTTGAATAGATATAAATGAATGGTGTTTTATTACGTTACCTGAAGGTAGGAGGAATTTGAAACTATGCACCAACCATGCATAGATAACGATTCCGCCTTACCTATAGTTGCCTTTATGACCCATTTGTCAATTTATGAATGAACTTACAAAGGCATCATTCTATACGGCTATCAGTTAAGTTACCTAAATTACTTAACACATTTTACTACACAGGAAGACTGTATTGTTTGGTAGAAAATATGTCATTCAGATTTAGTCCTTTGTCATATCTGATAGCATGCTTTTCGGTTGGAATATATAGTGGTCCAAAATTAAAAATACTACTCAAACTATAGCCTTAGATGCAACACACAATCCATTCAACAGATGTGTTAGTATAAGAAACTTTATTATCGCAATAAAGGTGTACGGAGTAAGGTTGAGTGATAAGTGCATCATTCACTGGTACTCTTGAAACCACAAGCATACGTAATCGAGATGCAGAAGTCCACATATTAGGTGCTATAGAAGTGTACTTTTATCCCAATTTTTAGAAGGTAAAGCATGTTCAAAAGGTATGAAACACCACAAAAACTCAAAAGAACATTCTCCTTATGACTTTGAAGACGCCCTGTAATTGTCAGTCAAATCACCTGAGACAGCCTAGGTCGGCTGATTGAACTTAAGAAGCGACTGAAGCTAACAGAAAACTTCAGTCGCAGTAGGGTCCCAATCAAAGATCTTTAAATCACCGACTGACCGCAATATCGGTTAATTGACAAGGCTTAACCGTTGACTAAGTTCAAATGCTCCCGAAAATGGATTTCATCCCACCAACCAAAACCACCTTGAAAAGTCTAATTAAGAAGCGGTCGATTGTTTGCCAAATTTGATTCGGATCCATTAGAATCGAAACGAGGAGAATCGTTCGGGCAAGTACTATGTTGTAGAATGGACTACCATGTATCTTTGACTCATATAACAGTTGTATTAAACACTCAATGGTCGACTGGTAGAGCACCAGGTCCTTACTCCGCAAACCATGGCCAGCTTGTATCCTATTGTAACTCGGCTTCTGATCGACTTCAAGTATCATCCCTGACAATCTTCCTCAAAAAACACAGGCCAGACTCTCCCACTATTTTAACGGTTAATCATTTCACAAAGCTTTGGAACGTAATCTCAACCAGTCTACATCGTACAGGAAAATGGCAAATTGAGTGACTAGTAAATGTAAAAATTGCAAATTATAATACACATTTCCTTGACCTAGTCTTGAAAAGTCAGCGTCGTTATCCAAATACAAAGAGTAATTTATTTAGCAAAGAAGCAAATGACACTGATTATATGAAGAAAAAGCAAGCAGTCATTTATGCTAGGACTTAAAAGGTAGCCCAAGTGACAGCGAGTGCCGAAAATTACGCCTACATGAATGACAACTTAGTACTGAACGTGACAAACAATCATTTCTCTTCTCACTTACAGAGTACTGTGTATGTGGTTACGAAAAAGAGTTAACTGTGTCTCAGCCTTCCGTTAACTATAAAGTATTGGGTCTATTCATACTTGGGAAAGCCATCTCATCCATTCAGTTTTTAATAGGATTTCCAAGACAAAAACACTTCCATAGTGGGGTGCGCTCCAATGCATTACTTTGTTCATTGTCGGTTTTTTAAGCTTCTTAATAGCAGTGCTAGTAAACTTTTTGGGTAATCAAGATAAGCCGAAATGCCTAATCATGAAGTAAACTTTCACAGTTTCTGGACATTTTTTTTTCAAAGCAAGTGAACGAAATGAAATTAACTCAACCACCTTGTGCATGTCTATGCAGTAGGCAGTGAGGCACGTCTATTATGTGAACACACCAGTGATACTACCTAGTTGCCCAAACCTCCGGAGGTGAAGCGGGCCTCAAACATGACCCAATGGTTGGTAGGCACCTCCCTAAACCACCGAGCCACAGACAGTAAGCAAACTGCCTAATGTTGATTCAATGGTAAATTATGGACAACTGAATAAGTTTGCAGGTTATTAAGAGAATCTGAGCGACATATTATCCTACTATTGAAAACTATAACAACGATGAAACAATGTAGCGAGAGAAAATGAATGGGAAAAAGGGTAGTAAAAATGCATTGCAACAGCGCAAAAGGTGTGGAGACTGCATGAAATTGTGTGTAACCCACTTAAATTAAAAATAATGTTTCTTTTTCACTGCTTTTACACATTTTGTACGTCCTTTCTAATACTTGTAAAACGAAGGTTGTTTATTTGCACAACTGTTTGGTTGTGGCGATTATTACGGAAATATAGTATGCTTCTATCCATTCCGACTTCTGCCTACGTGACTACTGTTTGTCGTGAATACTCATTGATTGTCTTTGGATTTTACAGGAGCTCTCATCCTACTTCTAAATATTACGACAATCAAGTCAACCAAAGTCGATTATGGAGACCTAACAAGTATGGCCTTTCGAACTCTGGTGTATCCTAAATTTTGGTGGACAGTACCGAAGAGATAACACTCAAGCAACCCGTTATTATCCCCAACATTGACATTACTATTCTGTGTTATGACGCATAACTTCTCATATTTTTCTAACAGTGAATCTAGTTTTGTAAATTATACGTAGTTTATCATTTTGGTCTACTTCACATTTCTTTAGGTCCACTACAAAGGTTACAAATTATAGGTCTTAGGATAAATGGTTACGTATTCGACGGATGTGGCGCGGTAAAGAAATAAACATGGTTGTGTTAGTGCTACCGTTTTGTTGTACAGATAAATCTAACTTCTGAAAATCTCCCAATCATTGGGGTTTTATGTAACGAACTCGCATATGTGTCAACCTACAGACTTCACTCAATGACTTTATAGTCCGTTGCCAGGTTTTGAACTAACTGCTTAGCTTAAGGTTTTTCAGGCACTCCATTATTTACTCAGTGTAACACTGTACATGAACTGAAATGATGGAATGGGATATATGACACACGATGATTTCATTTCATTCAATGCAGATTGACAATCATTTACACATCAATGAATCATTTGCATACATAGAAGAAAAAGGGTAAAGGGTAAAGTGCTTTTACAGATCAAAATTAAACGGTGACTAATTAGATGACTACAATGAAACTGTACTCACTTGACTTTGAACACTCCACAACTGTTATGCTGATATTCTTATACAGAAAAGCATTTTTACATATATACATTCCAGTATCCGACAAAGACAAATTTGTTAATTTCAGGATGATACTATTATCAAAGCGTGTATATCGTTTTTCGTTATTGGTTAACATTTCAGTCACTTTTGAATCCTTATTTTAGAGATTAATGAAAGATAAATAAATAATCAGGATATAATAGAGAAATCAAAAAGTCTCATTTGAATTCGATAGTATACATGAAGTCTATCCTACCTCAAAGCATCATGTTAGCCTAAATAAGGTTAAGTGGAAAGTAAGTCAAGGGTGGTCAAACCAAAACAGGATATCGATACATGAATTCTGTAATTGCTGTCTTGACCTGCGTAGGCAAATATAAACTGCTTGACTTGGGTGGTTAAGATTGCAGGGGTCAATGATTAAAGAATTTTAGTGATGTGGAACAAAACTCCGAACACTTCCCACTAACTATGATCCATTTATCCTGTCTCTTCTGCTTATGGACTTCTGTCTACTTCAGTATCATTTCTTTCATAGTCATCTCCTCTTTGTGAGATGCTGTAGTATTATGACAACTTGAACTCATGTAATTGTGTACAAGGTTTTATAGTAGTTTTTTTTATCTATTAGTCTGTCGATCCTACACTCACATGATAACTTATAATTTCTGTGCGCAACCAATTCAGTTATCTTTACCTAAATATGATAATAATGGTGACGACAACTAATGATAATATAATAATCAGTAATGCAACTCAGAAACCAAATGGGACTTTACGCTTTAAACTATTGACCAGATATATTGGCACAGGGATCATAGATACTGGTTGGTTACCCGTAAATTAAACTTGTAACTACCCAGCTTAAACTTAAGTCTTTAGACAGAGAAATCACAAACTGTGAAAAACCACATGATTGTTCCTTCATGATGTTAAAATTTCTTCAAAGCTATAGCCATCAATTGCTATAAACAGAGAACCTTACCCTCTTCAGCAGCTTACATAATCTGCAGCGTCCAGATCCGGTAGTAACTGTAATTTTCACACAAATGTATATAACAGTTTGTGCTTGTTCGATTATTTTCCATTATTTTAAAGGACAGATATCCTAAGTAAAAGTAGACTCCTAACACGATACTTATTTGTTAAAGGAACTATGTTAACTGCAAGCTAGTGAACGGTAGTTATAATCTACACCCATTAAATTTAAAATAATGTATGGCAAGTTGAAATGATGAACTTCTATATGGGTTTCCAAAATCGAAATACATCCAAGAACCATGTGCATATTCATTCAGGAAGCAAACAACCACACCTTTTTTGTAGGGGCTTGTGATACTACCTTGCTGTCTGGACCTCAACAGATGGAGCGGGCCTCGAAGCTGTAACCCATAGGTGAAAATCCAGTGCCTAGACAAATGAACCATAGCCCCACTACGGGGTTCCACGTTATCGCCTTTTTGAATTTAAAACATAACCCTAGTTCAGGTATTTGGGGAAAATGCAATCTTTTTAGCTTCTTTTCTGCCTACAAGTTACAGTGTATGCAAAAGAACGAAAATATATGAACATATCAAACAACTAAACCAGTTGAAATAGAGGTTTCTTATCAAACTATAATATAGTTTGATACTGGTTCGTGTACTGGACCTTACTACACGGAAGCTAGCGATTCTATCAGGCTGCATGAATCTTAGTAGTTGTGAAGGAGTTTTATCTCCCACTTCCACGTTGCTCAGCAGGTGGTCTGCTGCTCGCTTTTCAGACACTGAGGTACATTGGATGCACTGAACCTTAGTACATGGAAGCTGGTTATTCTATCAGGTTATTCAGATACCCATGGGGTAAGTTCGACTTAATGGTATCGCTATCTAAACAACGGTTCACGGACCAGTGTTGTATGAGAACTAAAACAGTCACCAAGTGATAATAAAAGAATGAATGAAGTAGTTCCAAAAGAAAAAAATTGTGAGCTAAAAAAAGTAGTTACTTTCAAAAATTTAGGTCGTTCACCGGATTGTCCAAAATACCATATTTCAAGTTGAGTTAAAGCTCTTGGGATCTCACAGAATAAATTCACCTCACCAGATAAGCAAGCAACATGGTCTAAAGAATAAAATCGAAACTCCGCATAATCTGATAACAAAAGCGTCGATAAATCCACTTGTTGTCTTTCATTCATTGAACTGTCTCCAAAGGAAAAATCTAAGAAGTCAGGATAAGAATCTTCAGCGTTTACACCACTGGAATTTGTTCCATTCGGTAAACGCAGTTCCTCAATCAGTTCAAAATTTGGAGCTTCAAATTCAGCCAAGTCTGTATCACTACATGGTTAAATTTTCACAAAAAATAATACATGGTAAGTTGATATGGACAAAGTACAAGACACACATCAATCAAGGTTAGGACTCCTTAAATATAGGAAAAAGTATTTTTGTATAAGTTTGTCCGTAAACAATGAGATTCTCGGCAATTAACTGCAGTACCGTTCTAGCAAACCTTCCCATCTCAAAGAAACTTTGAAGTATTATCCATGGGATCTAACGTTTGAAAGTTCGCAGTACCAACGCGTTAGATCTCTACTACATTGACAAAGATAAGGATGAACTGATTCACATTTGTATATATCAAGAATCTAGACTTATCTTTAGATTAAATTACATGTTATCCAAACATTCATATTATATGGCTTAAAACGATGAGAAAATCAAAATTTATGGGAAACAGGATTCCTATATTTTTTAGGGTATTGCAAGTAGTATTCTGATTAGTAATTGTTTTGAAGATATACAATCCGTGGTAAACGGACATTCAGTTTTGAATATTCTGAAAATCTGAGTGGTGTTGGAATTCCTAGATTCGGCTGTATTTGTAATAATCTTAAACAGCAATGAATGTTTACTTTAAAAATGTACTTTTCCCCCAATATGCATCGGTAGCATTATACTGAACAACTTATAGAAATGAGGGGACGCTGAAGAAGAGATGCACAAGAAGAATACATCAATAATGTACAGCATAACTGACAAATCCTCATTATCGGGAACCGGATGTTCCGCTTTCAGTCTTTTACATGTCAGAACAAGGGATTCTGTGGTATCCTTGAGAAAACGACATCGCTTGGAATGACAACAGTATTTACATGAAATACTCTCAAGGTTTCACACTACTTGGGTGAAGTCTCTGACTGTTAGTTTCAACCACGGTGGGAAACATGGATTTCATTGCTGGTGCACATAAGATAGCCATGGTCGGTAGTTGGAGACTGGGTAATGTGGTTTAAAACTGACATCATTGGCGTATACACATCGAGGGATAATCTTCATCCTAACCACCATACAGCATTTCCTCATTTTGTCTCCTTTCCCCCTCTTATGACTTCTAGTGAACTGTGATCATATTTCATTTTTATCTTGCTGCTTTGTACCTTGATGTACCAATGTAAGTTATGCCAACTTGGGCTATTACGCAGGGTTGGTAGGTCACATGTAAAATACCGAGTGCTTCTCATAAAATGCACAGCAAAGCTTTACTCTTGATCTTTAATACAAAAATACTTGCATCCTCCAGGCCAAAACTCAACTCAGAATATTGAATTTACCATTCTTGGAAGATCAAATTCACTATCCAATTTCCTTAATGGCAAGTTTCAGTACAAAAAATCATAATTCAGGAAGTGGCAAACTCACCTTAGATCAGATGCAAATAAATGCGTCATTTTCTGAAGAACTATGTATGAGTTACTTATAGCCATATCTGTACTATTTGGTGTTCGAACAATACAATCAAAATTATCAGTCCCACTAATTGAAAAGATTGTGATTTCCATTACATAGCAGACACCAGAAAGATTACGTTGTGTTTCTTCAATCGAGTTACAATCCAGCATTTTGGGCTAATAAACAAGAGGTAAAAGAATTCCATCCATATGACTCAACTACATAAATAAAGGAAATTTGTCGGGCTAAAAAACAGGCTTATATCATGCTTCTATTTATTTGAGCAACATGTTACACAACCCTTGTCCTTCTCACAAGTGACCATTGGTCCCCTAAGAAGCATGAATAGTAACTTCCTTTACACGGTCACTTACCGATTTTGAAGAACTATATTAGACTGTGCTTACATAAATATATACTTACTGCTACATGCCTTTCAACTCCATGTTACGGGAGCTTGAAGTTGTGCATTGCCAGCATAAAATGAAAAAGTGATCACATGCCGTATGCTGTCATTTCCTGTAACCATATAAAATCTAAAATATCATTAGGTTTCGTTCTATATGTCTTGCCAATGGGAGGTAACGCGTAGTCAAATGTAATGTAGACCACTTGAACTCCTTAACAATCCATGAACGTCAATTTAAGTGGTAGCCAGCGCGACGAAATGACCTTGAGGTACTAATCAGAAAAGAGCCTGGAAACGCGTCATAAAACTGAATATTTACTGCACAATGAATCGATCATGACAGTATTGATTCGAACGTAAAAATATGAAAACTACACAAGAATGCATTGGGTGCCACACCTCACGGTAGTGAAGATTAAAGTAATATGAAAAGTAAGCACACAACCAACAAACAAATCGAAATCACTATGGTGTCAAAGGTTCTGAGGGACCTGAAATTGAACAAAAGTATGTTATCTCAAGATTTTTTGGCTCGATAATCTGGAATCTTTAAACTGAGCCCCTCAACATCTTGATATCGCTATTCAGAAAGCTTACGTTTCTGTATACGAATCAAACGCGGTGTCACTAAACTGATGAATCGGTATTTTACTTGTATCTCTCTACCCCACGCTGTTTACAACTTGAATCTGTCACATTTAAAATCTCTCATATAAGTGAACGTTAGCCCTTTTTGAATGACATCTGACACAAAGAATTCCAGCCACGATAGGTTCATTTCATTTACCCACCTTCCTTTGACATATGGATCTAACCTCAGCAGATCGTCCAGTCAAACATATTGAAATGTTAAATACCGTGGAGCATATGCTATTATGAAAAGTACGGATAGCTCGATCGAGTTATTAGTATAGATTCAACGTTTGTCTTTTAATACCATTCAAACAGTACTACAAGAATCCAGGTTCAAATTGCCATTCAAGCGGTAAAATGATGTCTTAGCCACTACAAAAATCCTGAATATCCAGTTTTCTATATTCTAAATTTGGATAACTGATGACAAATCAGTCATATGTTACCGTTATACACTATCACTAAAGTAAAAACGCTGCTGAAAATGCAATCGATGTGTTATACTTATTACACTGTAGGGTATCATAAAGAATATAGATAACATAACTTAGCAACTTAAAACTGCCTGTGGTCTAATAAGTCTGCTGGGTAACAGTGACAATTCAAGAAATCTAGATACAAAGTAGGAGTACGCTTTAAACTAAACCTCAAGGTAACGAATATTTACCACGATATCCTGGTAAGAATAAACTGAGGTCATTCGTTGTTTTGGGAAGCATTTCTGCAGTTATACTTGTCAAACGACCTAGCATTGTTGACATGCAAAACTTTGTCAACTGAAGAAAATGTTCACTACTGTTGCTAAGCTGAAGTTAAGACAGTTGATGTAAAAAATGTAACTGAAGGACAAAGTAGAGTCAGGACTACAAAAGCTGAAAATCATACATACAGCGTGTGCCGTAACACTATAACTCGCAACCAAAATCTATAGTAACACTGGAATAGACGCAAGGTCATAAATACGACTACGTAACTTGACTTTTGACACCAACAAAAGCGTTCTCCGTAACACTTCACACTGAGGTCCCTGTAATCATCCAAACCCTAAAAAAACGCCTATCTACTATCGAGCTGAAATAACGCGTTTAGAGTGAAGTGCAAACTCTGTACATAGAAAACACCATAGATTCCTCTGTATCTAGTACACTGAGTTATTTCAAGTGCATTGGTTTTAACAGTGATAAAAAATTAAGGAATGAGTCCAACAGATGTCAGACGGCTAGTCAAACACAAACGAAAACCTTGTGGGACAAACAATGAGCCCAGTAAGTGGCTTCTAGGCATTATAAAAATAATATTCATAACAACCTTAAGAGCCACAACAAAAGTGATTAAACAGAACGACTTTACACATAGACCCAAATTGAACACCAGTGCAATAAGATAATAGCTGGTGGGGTGGAAAAATAAGAGGTGGACGAACTAAACAAATCAGCTACAACCAGATGTTCTACGAGCCAATATATAAATAAAAGGTTTATTATGTACCTTTTCAGTAGAATTATGTACATTCAACTCGTCATGGTCATGAGGAAGAAGCCATTCAGTGACAGGATTGATTGACTTATCCATAACGTAGAAGTAACAAGCCAATTTTAGTGGCTTCTCAAAAAACTCATATGAAGCAGGTGTGTTTTTCATCTTTTGATGCCAGTAGGGTCTTTCTATTCAAATTAGCAGTGAGCACGAGCAAAATACCAATACCTTTTTCGTCACCTTCGTAGTCGGGAATAGAATCTTCATGAACTGCTTTGTAATACGGTCGAGGCTCTGGAAAAATACGAACATCGACTATTTATTTACCAGCTACTGTCAAAAATACCGCAACACATTCCTTGAACTTATTGCTGGAAGAATAACACTTGTATACACCAGCATCATCCCTTCTGAGGTCAAAAATTCGAAGTGCATTTCTTGCAATCAAATGTTTTCCAGGTCTTCGAAATTAACGTATTCACTGATAAACTTACTTTTTATTGATAGAAGAAGAGTTGAAAGTCCACAAGACACTTGAAATGCCACCACAATCACAATGGAGAACAATGCTTTGATACATTGACTGTTTCACGAATTCGAAGGCGAATAAGCATTTTAAGCCCATCATTAATAAACAACAGCCCACTAATTTGTCGACAAATAACATTCGCACAAACATGAACAACCACAGTATATCAGTACGCTGTTCAATAGAGACATCAAGGACGCACTATGCACGAAGGCAGAACAAACGACATGGAAGTAGTAAAACCAAACTTCACCTTGATTTCAGTATACAATGTTTGAAGATCTTATTTCAATAATGCAAAGGGATGGTTTGTTGTTTTTGAACGGTTGTTTCTTCTTCCTTTTTTGTATTGGATTCATTTTATTAGGCTTTTTTCTTCCAGCTACAAGGAGGTAGTTATTTATCATCGAGTCTGCAACTAATGTTTATATGCTTAGTTTGGAAAGAAGCTAAGACACTGTTTCTAGGGTTGACTGATCTTTCAGTGAGTCAAACTTCCTGAGTGCCTAATGGATGAACGCAATGAGTTTTAATGAAGGAGAGTTCAGTTTCTTACAAACATAGGGAGTTTCATTTGACACGTAAAACGAAAAAGGTTTTCGGGATTTTTCAGTACACACTGCGCCAGGTTAATTTGATACCCAACCAATCTTCAGGAACTCTGACATTGAATGTGAGATGTTAAGAAATCCTATTCCTTGGGTAAACAACGCCAGGCAAACCAAGCAACATTTATCCTCTCAATTGGCCGCCGTTGAACATCTCTCTTTCGCAGCTTGTAAATCCTGTGTTTAGGACATCATCTTTTCATTACTTTAATGGCCCGTTGAAACAAGTCCATTGCTTTACACTTATGTTCCTTGATGGCTGGAGTCCAACCCCCAGGTCAGCTTGCGTTTGCATGATCGTTTATTGATGTGTAGTTTGATTTTCTGTAGCAAAGGAAGGTGCTGGTATCGTCACGATCATCAGGCAAAATCCTGTTGCCACGTGGTTACTTTGGTGTGATATCAGCCAGACACTCAATTTTCCGAACAATCGACCGTCGTTCATCGGTTAGTATCCTGGTTGTGATGGGCATTTACCTGGCAGACAAGATGGCTTGTTCAGCCATTGGTTAAAGGACCTGGTTTAATGCACACAGTTTGTTCCCGAGCTCACAGACGGCAAGCTGAAATACTCAGCAGTAACCAGGTATTTTTAGCCTGCCATGGTTCAAACCAGGATTGCAGAGGTCAGCATTTGTTTTCGGCTTTAAATACTTACCGAGGGCCTAAATATTTCTCCCGCTAAGTGCTTAGGGCTGCAGATGGCTAATCAGCGCAATAAGAGATCCAGAATTTGGTTGAATGTGACACCCACTACCATCTTAACGTTTGGGTGAAAGCTTCTACGTAGAGCCTCTCCTCCTTTATGGATTTTTCGCTTTTATGGAAGTTGTATTTCTGCAACTGACATTTCGTTGCCCGAAACCTCACCAGACACCCAATTTTTCGAAGTGCATTTCATTCAGCAGCACGGGTTATCATGGCGCGCCTTAGACTTCACTTTTTCGCTTCTTAGTCCTCCTAAACCACTATATTTACACTGTAATTTGTTCCCTATGAACTGGATGTAAGACTTTTTGGTGGAGGTTGTAAGGCTATTCACAAGTTCCTGATTTTGATTGTCACTCCTGAAGGTGACCGCCTCGTTTTGTAATCCAGAGTAGCATAACAGTTTGTTTCTGCTGAATTAAGATCGAAAGGTGCTCCACTGTCCGTCGAACCAGGTCTTCGTAATTGTTTCCCCTCACTTACCCGGTGAGTTCGTAACCTGCGTTACATTTGCACGTGATCTGTTATACTATAACTTTAACGTTACCAGCCGTTTGATATAGTACTTTTGAGCACCAAAAGTTACGTTTCGTTGTTCCTGCACAACGTGGTATTCTATATCGGCAATTTCCGCCGTACAGTAGATCTGTCTGTATAAAAGAAAGACTCGGAGCATATATAGCTTCTTATTCTCAGAAACTAAACTTTCTGAGCATCATACGCCTATTCTGGAACGTTAAAGAGACACCCACTTTGATATACACAGCGGAACCCAAGAAATTACTGAGAAAACAGGGGAGTCAAAACAAGGACTAACTTGAAGAAAAGTTATTTGTCTGTAACACTCAGTTTAATTACGAACCAACGCTGTTAGCTTCGAGACACAATAGTTCCGCAATATACGTTGCCTGAAGTGTAAAGAAACACTCGCTAGCAACTGTCATATTTGATACATAAGTCGTTACTAAACCTTCTGTGACTTCTGGTTACTTCACTTGTTCTTCGGTATTGACGAACCCAATAAACGAGTAACTACTACTGCCACACCATGGTCCACCCTAACAAACGTATATGTGCTATATATACACCTAAACCTAACCCTAGCGCCTCAACTAAAAGAGCACGTTCACTAAGTGGTTCGACATCAAGCCATAAAAGAGGTCCTGAAGTTAAGGTAGTCGATCTCATACCGGAGCTATATAACACTTCGCGTAAAAACAAGGAAGACTTGATAACCCTCCAGAAGCAACTACAAGACATGAACGCTAAGCTTGAAGTTGTTCTACCACTGCTCCACCTTTGTCAGCCTAATCTAGAAGCCAGTACAGAAACCTTATTAAAAACAGAAAGTGTCCTAGATTTCATTGCTACAGAGGTTAATAAAAGGATTATGTCCTCACATAATGTATTAGTATACAACATACCTGACCACGAACCGATCAAGCAAGCAAAAGCCTTATGTCTGCAGGCTTGTAACATGTCTTCTACAGAATGCCAAGTTACCCGTCTCCGCAAGAAGTTGGGGAAATATACCTGCCCCTTGCTGTTCAAATTTAGTGGCTCTTACCATGCCAGACACTTCCTATCATCCAAGCAACTTATTAGTGTATCCACACCATATAAAAATGTCAAACTTTCGCAAGACTTAACACCTTGTCAGAGACGTAGTCGCACAAAAATACCAAAAACTGCTAATTCTAGTCAAGCTCTGGTACCCAAAACAGCAACACAATCTATTAGCGAACTGGCTACTGTACAAACACAATGGAATGAGGAATACCAAAGCCCACAAACTAGCCCACTCACACACAGACGTAGAGCCGATGACACGACGGTAGGCTTGGACAAATCGATGAACTACACTCAAAAACAGGCACACGATCTCCTAAAGGTGGTCTCACTGTCTACAGAAGTGGAAAGCCAGTCCCCGTCTTACCCCGTCACACAGGTCACCCCCAAACCAAGTGCTACGCTATCGACCCATCAAATTACTGAAAACGTTATTATGTCATCACCAGGTGTCACTCAGCCTATAAACATACCCAGCACCAGCCACAAGCACCCTGTTATCATAGGACCGCCCCCAAGCTTAGCGCGTAAACAGTCAAATCTATCCCACCTCAGCCAGTGCAAAACTTATATGCACCAAATAGGCAGATGATAAAGAGTACAGATAGCACTAGACACTCTTACACAAACCCCACTATGCACCTACCCAGGTTAAATAAACTGCCGAAAAGGCAATCAAGCAGTCTCACCAATAGACGAAAAAACAATACAAATAGTCAAAAGACCATTGCACCCTCGCAAAGTCACACTAGGGAAAATGCCAAACGTTATTTCTCAGGTCATCCTATGACCAAGTCAAATAACTACTCTCCAGGCGACCCACACTTCTTAACACTTCCGCGGTCACTAGCAGATACACATCACCGCCGGACCCCTCAACGATCACAGTTATTGGATAGGGAGCAAAATGGTAGTCACAGACTATGCTTTCCGCCTCACCCATACGCCGAAAGACGTGGGTCATACGCTTCACAAGGACAAACTTACAACAGATCCCCTAAAGAAAATCAAGGGGAATATGAATCTGTCTATGACCAAAATGCATACGGCAACCAGCGGACAGGTGTGCCATACAACTTATCAATCCCCGTTACTTCTTATGAACAGGGTTTTTTCGGACAGCCTACGGCTGCAACGCCACCAGTAATGCAGGTGATTCGGATGCTGTCGGATCATCTGCTCTCTACCCTGACCAACAGTCTCTATACCAATCACAATGTAGTGAATACCTCGCTCCTTCCGAGGTAAACAGTACCGAATCGTCACCCTGTACAAAAGGTCATGACATCGCTAGCACGATGTACGCAAAGGACGCCCAAGAAACGTACCAAAGTGCTGACTTTCTCCGAGATATATCTAAACACTTTTGTACTATTAACTCGCTCTCGTTTTGCCTGATTAACGCCCGCTCTATACGCAACAAAATGAAAGAGATTATGCTGCTATCTCTGATAAGTGGTCCGTCCGTGATAATGGTTACAGAAACTTGGTGTACCAATGATATTTGCGACGCAGAGATCTCCATTGACAACTATTCCTTGTTCAGGAAGGATAGACTGCATGGTAGGGGAGGAGGGTGCATTATCTATGTAAAGTCTGACATCACTGCTACGCAGTGCCCTACATCTGAGCTAAACGAGATTGACGACTCAGTATGGATTATCGCAAAACTTACTCGCTCCACTTCCCTCCTAATAGGATGCATTTACCGGCCCCCTTCCTCCTCAGTCGAATACGACGACAAGCTAACAAGCGTGTTCGCCCGTGTGGCAACACTACCACACACAGCGAAAATTATATGTGGTGACTTTAACATGCCAGATATAAAGTGGCGACCAATTAGCTATCCAGAGCGCTTTGATAAATTCATAAGCATTCTTGAAACAGAGGGTTGGCAACAACATGTGGAACACCCTACCAGGTACAATAGTGTCCTGGACCTAGTCTTCACAAACGGAACCACACCCACAAAACTCCAAGTGGGTACACAACTTCCAGGTAGCGATCACAAGGTTGTATATGGATACTTCAATATAACCAGCACAAAAGTGGCCCAAAAGTCAGGAACAGTACTAACTAGAAATTACAAGTATGCCAAATGGGACGAACTACAATCGTTTCTGCGCTGCCTAGATTGGAGCCCCTACTTTACCAACAGTTCAGCCAAAGAACTCTGTGATCTATTCTATGAATATATAGGCACAGCTCAAGACTATGTTGCTCCACCGCTCCGAAGAGAAATTAAGAAAAACAGAGCTGACTATATACCAAAGAAAGTACGCATCCGCATGCGAAACCATGTCAGAGAGTACTATAAGTCGAATGACTTTTCGTCGCTTGTCACACTCAAAGA